GTTTCTCGTCTTTCTTTATTCTTTTAAACTCTAACCAAATCCTCTATAGCCTTCCGTTGGTGGTGTTTTTTCTTTTGCTGGTGTGGGGGGGGGGGGGCCCCCCCCGATAAATATCAAGGCGCACTGGCTGATTTTCCACAAGTTCGCTCATTTTCATAAAGCACTGAAAAGCAATTTTATACAATGGCCTATAGAGATGCCAACGCAGGTAGAGCAAATACAGGAACGCTTTTTATGACCTCGAGCTTGCGTCCCCTTTTATGATTAACTAATCGAGCAAAACCTATAGCTTTTTCTCGACCCCGACCGTGATGATCAATCGTATATCGTATAATGCCATACAAGTGCCGACATCTCGTACTATGGTATTATGAATGCCTTTATTCGTCCCGGTCTTCACTATACATCTCTCCCGTTGTCGTGCATCCTAGCAAACCCAACTCCGCGCCTCGAAATCCGTTTCATGAATATTTTATGCGGCTCCGACTAAGATGTTGTTGACGGGGATGTGAACTGTAGACATACTATTAGTAAAGGACGCTTCTCCTTCGTATGTGGGAGCGAAGCCATACTTAGTTTTATCAAGTAGCCAATTGCGCCCATGACTAGGAAACCAACACCGACGGCCTTGCTGATCTGGATGAACTCGCGCTTGTCGGCTGTGAGATAAAACTGTTAGTATGCTACGTTCTTATTTTATGTCTTCGCTGTTCTGCCTCGGCTTTGCCTTGCTTTGCTTATTCCTCGTATCCGTCTATTCGGCTCACGGTACTCGAGCTCCAGACATAACACGGGGGGGCATATGGGGGTATGGAGCGAGGGATAGACATACGCTTAGTGCATCGCGTCATGAATTGCGTGCCGTCCTTGACGAAGTCCCTGGGGATTTCGAGGAGATCTTGAATGTCCGACATTGTGGATAGATGGTGGAGATGATTGTAAAGTTGCGATCGAGGTAGATGGGTTCGTTTGTAGAAAGACAAGGAAGATGTGTCTTGTCGAGGGAAGAAATTGAATTGTTGGCTTGCTAAGGAAAGGAGCGAGAAGTAATTGAAGGTGCAAGTGAAGTGGTGATGGATTCGGCCAGATTTCCTGGTAAATGTTCAGGTACGTTATCTCCAAATGCGCTAGCGTGGAACCTTGCCGTACCTAGGTAGTTTGCAATCTGGCCTGGCCAGCAAAACATTAAAAGCTCCAGCTGCATGTGTGCACGTGAGTGTTAGGGGTATCCCTCCTGTACATAGGTACATGTATGTATTGTACATGTACCTAACAGTTAACCTTCTTAGGTAATGCTACCTGGGGGCGCAGCTTAGGTTTAGGTAATCAGCCAGAGAACATTAAACGCTAAGCGGGCCAATACCGGTGCTTGCCCGCAGCTTACCCGCAGCCTCATTTAAACCTCTGAATAGTGGGTCACATACCCCCAAAGCTCAGCCCGTTCTACCGATTTAGCGCTAGACCTTCGGGCTTGAACTCCCCTTGTCGCTTGTCGGCGGTTTTTAGTTGTCGAGTCCATCTAAAACCGTTTCCTGTCAGAAAGTGTCAAACTTCCAAGTTCAACAACGCAACGGCAAGCACACATCAATCCCGCTTCATCCCATCAACCACGTATCCGTCAACATTGCATTGCCAGGTGTAGTGTGCCGACTGACTCATTCCTCTATTACCCGACTATGTGTATCTCTAAGTAGCACCTTGCCCAAGCCGCTTACGACGCGTTGCAACTCCTTTCTCTCCTCCCTCCTCCCTCCTCCCTCTTGATTCTCAACTCTCTTGACTACTACTCAACTTAGGTCATTTTATTTATTCTTTCTTTTTTCACCCGCGTTTGATTATTAGGATCGCAAAAGGGCATTACTTATTCCCGGACCGTTCTATTACCGGGTCATAGGACACTTTACGGGGGGATACGTTTTCTACTAATACTTGCATAATATCGAATATCGAGCAATTCATAGGCAAACTTGGGGAAACCGTTCTACATCTTTTTCTACTTCAGATATCGCGCTGCTTGTACTCTACTCTACACAACCATCATTTCTGCAGTCGCGCAACAGTTTCAGACATTTGGGAATAAGGGACCTTGCGCACGCGCTTATTTTCGAGGAAGGCTGCCTAAAGACTGCAAGCACAGAGCTTCGTCTTTGATATTTCCATTTATCCAGGGCCCTATCGTCGTGCAAGGAGGATAGCCTGCTTGAAGGAGCTCAGCTCATAGGAAATATCTATCATAAAGGCTGATAAGTGTACGTATTTGATACCGTGAGAAAATCTCTTTTCCTCTTATTTATTTCTTCTCTTATCTGGTCGAGGATTCAAACATGTATTTCTCGTTGACTGATGATATGGAGTGGAAGACGACAGGCAATTGTATCTACTCTGAATACATCCCCACTTGACAGACATCAGAGCTTCAGAACTACCTTTCTTCTTAGTCTCATTGATATTGCAACGTCCTTTTCAACAACCCTTTTCCGATATGGCGGACGAGGACTTCGAGATTGACGTCTATGGTGACGCGAACGACGCGAACGACGCCAACACCAATGTGGATGTCGATGACTCTAGACTGGATGATTCGAATAATCATGCTTATGAAAACAACTCTTCTATAACTATTGCCAACGGCTCTAATTCCGAATCTACCACACACGCACACAACGACGATTACGACAACGATCAACAAAACATGGATGCCCAAAGTAGTAGCGCAACACCCACCACTTCATATCCGCAAGGCGTCAAGCGCAAGGAGGCATCCGGCAACAGGCCCATCGACCCAGGTGCTACCAGTGCCTTATTGCTCTCGGAACTGCAATGGTGGACTACAGACGATGAAATCCGTGGCTGGATTCGACAAGCTTCCTGCGAGGATGAACTGAAGGATATTACGTTTAGTGAACACAAAGTTAATGGCAAAAGTAAGGGGTATGTAATATCTAGTTATCCGGTAGAGCTAGCGATCCTTTACTGATATCTTCGTTATAGTCAAGCCTATATTGAATTCGCCTCGAAAGAAGCCGCCACCGCTGCTAAGCACCAAGTAGAGCACGCTGCTGCCACTTCCACTCAACCAGGTGGCAAGAAGGTTACAGTCATATATACATCGCATACAAACAATCCATTCAAGACTTTACCAAAGGATGCGCCTGCCCGAGCCAATAAGGATGGGCAAACCCGGGGAGGTTCTAATGTGGGAGGATACAACGACCGCGGCAACTTTAGGGGACGTGGTAACTTTGCTGGCCCCCGTGGAGGATTTAACCGCAACTTCTCAAGCAACATGGGAGGCGGCTTCCATAACAATGTCCCTAGCGGATTCAATAACAATATGGGAGGAGGAAACTTCGGTTTTAACAACATGGGTGGCGGTGGCGGCGGCGGCGGCGGTGGAAACTTCGGCTTCCGGGGTGGAATGATGCCTGGAGGAGGTATGGGCGGAGGAATGCGTGGTGGTGGCATGCGCGGTGGACGAGGTGGAGGTGGAATGAACCCTGGTATGAACGCCGGCATGAACAACGGTATGATGGGCGGAATGGGTGGAATGGGCATGCCTTTAATGGGCTTCCAACAGCCGGCACACTTTAACCCGGCTTTCTTCAGCGGCAACCAGCAACAATCCGACTGGCAGAACCCCCACGGAGCGAAACGGCCGCGCGAAAACTAAAGACAGTATAACTGTCTCAACACTACATTAAATAGCCCTTTCTCACCCAATAGTTAGGGCGACTATTACCTTTTTAGGTCAAGCATCTCGGCACGGGATAGTATTATGGCTTTTGCAGTTACGGAAATAGTTTTCAGGTATTGTAGACAGGGAGGAAATATGGACAGATGAGCAACTAAGTTGCAGGCAGGCAGGCAGGCTGGTAGGCAGAAGGGCCGTCTCGGCTTTCAGGGGATTACGATCAAATTCTCCGGTCAATTAAAAATTTCTAGTTACTAGGGGCTCTTCGTCTTTCATAGGTATGAATCGAGCAAAGGTAGCCTTATAGTGTTACTTATTTTTTTGAGAATGGTAGTTATATAAGTACCTAACCTAGGTACCTAAATTAACTAAGTTAACTCAAGTAACTTTTTTGGATGTCGTGACGGCTTTGCGGTCTGGGCCGAAGAGCCCGAGAAGGTAGGTTGTACGGGTTAAGCATAGAAGGGTCTTATTGGATCAGTGTTAGTGGTAGCTCGAGCATTTCCCCGTAGGCTCATTGGGAGTATTTTGGGAGGTAGAGGGATGGGAGTATAACTTACAGTAAACCCAACATTACCCCAGGTCACAGCGTTCCACGAACCCACATCCAAGGTCCTAGCGTACCCGAGCAGCCAGCACGTAACGCCGACGTGACTTATATCCGCGATCCTGTGGGGCGAGAAAGGTTAGTATTAGTCTAAGGCGTGTTATATGGGAAGGTTATGGTGTGTTTGCTACTCTGCCGCATGGTGGGTATAGAGCTACCAGGGACAAGGATGCTATTCATTACTCAACGTAAAACTTATATTCACCGTCTGCCGCCATATGAAACATGAAAAGAACTGGGGAAACGAACCATAGAGCGATGAGATAGTTACGGACAACCTTGAGCTCGGTAGTGGTATACAGCACAGCTACTCCAAGAAGGAATAGGAGCCCGTATGTGTTTCCTAACTGGAGGGCGATCAGACGCGCGTTATCGTCTCGCGGAGCAAGATGACTGCCATCCAGCGCGTCAATCTGTGAAGCTATGAACCACTCGGGGTCTAAGAAGGGCCCGAGAAAGCCGCCAATACTAACGGGTGACGTTAGTTATCGGTAAAGATGGACGTCTTAATCAAGATATTATAGCTTACAGAGAGATAGGCTCCACGATAGTGAAGACAGTGCGGGGGAACGCCGGTAGTTGCGAGGCCATAGTCCCAGGTACCCTTGATTATATTATAAACTTGCAATAATTAGTTGATATTAATATGTATCTGGCTAGCCTCCAACCAAATTTATTGTGGCGGGTAACGAATAGAGTGTTAGGTATATGTGTATAAGTGATATGTCTGCTTGCGTATACGAGAGTCTACGTATAGTAGCGGGTCAAGCCGTAAACCATGCGATAAGCGTTTGGCTATTAGACTTGATAGATTTGATTTGTGATGGACTTGTGAAGTTAGACCCACGTAAGATGTAGTAAAGAAATATTGATCTCGTATTATTAATCTCGCAGGCACGCTTCCTTCTAGAAGGGAAAAAGGATGGTGAGGTTGAAACAATAAGGATGCGGGTTAGGTATGATGAGTAAGTCGAACGATTATGGTAACGATTATGATAACGATTATGGTAACGATTATGGTAACGATTATGGTGTCAAGGTACGTAAAAGTACCGAACCAAACCGGCGTAGAACGCGGTGTCAGAATAGGGGAAGGAGCTGCTAGGATAGCGGCGGGATAGAGGCGGGATTGTCCCGATTGGGTCATGATACAGGTACGGAAACTTTAAAGGATCAAACGGCAGCAAGAGGCAAGGTCCAAGGTCCAAGGTCCGTGGACCGCAGACCGCAAGGAAAGAGAAACGCATCAGATAATTCCATTCGCAATTGCAGATTTGAGAAATTCTTGGCATTTTACCCAGCCGAGAAAGGAGGATGATTAATTTGAAATTCACTGCTATGGTTATCTCTAGTGTAACCAGAGCCATCCCTCCTCGTTTCTCTCTTTTTTTTTTCTTTCCCCTTCCACTCTTTTTCATAAATAACTTTTGAGAGAGTTTTTGGTCTTTGCAGGCCCATTGACCCCCAAAAGGTTCCGTCACCCCGAAGGCAGCTATCATCACCCATAACCTAATCGGTTCAGTAAATTGCTGCATTTGTTTTAGTACATAAAGAGGTAGGTAGGTAGGTAGGTAGGTCACTGGTCACTGGTCACTCTACATTAAGGAGGGATCAATGATCAACGATCAATGGTCAAGTCAATTGTCAATGGTTCCAATGGTTCCAATGGTTCCAATGGTGTTTCTTCACGTGAAGCAGCAGCAGTGAGAAGAAGACTGAAAAGAAAACGCAAACGCGGCCAATCCGCACTAATACCTTTTTCTCCCATTTTCCTAGTACATGCAGCCATACTTTTGGTCCTATCAATGATAGGAAAGAAGTTTTCCTTTTTCTCTCTCTCTCTCTC